ATTGCTAGAGATTACACCGCTATTGCTAGATCGTGATGTGAAGCGCGACCGGAGATAACGGAATACGAGCCTTACATCTAGCTCTTGTTCCCATTCTTCCTGTGTAAATGCTAGCGCAGAATCGTCTAGTTGCGATTGTGATTGCGTATTAGCTTGACCTGACTTCGTCGGTTGTGTAACTTGGGGTGCGTTGATAGATTGCGCTCGTGTATCCAACGTTGGCCGGAAGTCGGGGACGGCCACGGACGGCTCTTCTGTCCTCGCGCTGGTTGTGGTGTCGTTTACACCCTCCGGTATGGGGGGTAGACCTGCATACGGAATAGGCATTTGCTGCACTCGACTGAAAGTCGAGAAGGCTCCAGGATGATCGGAGAGTCGATGAATAAGTGAGCCGAGCTCTTTAGCGACCCGCTCCAGCATTTTGAGCTGCCATCCGGAATCTGTCGAATCCTTCATGCTAATGTCTGGTTGTTGAGATGTGGGTATCGATGATAGCTTGGGTGTTGAGGGAAGGTCTTCTTCATCCGGTAATTCTTCACCGAATAAGATTGAGAGCATCTTGTCGTCAATTCCCAAAATGTCGCGGACAACTTTTCGAGTGATGCGGCCCCAGATGCTCTCGTCATCTGTCCCTTGCTCACTTCCATCGTGATCATGCCATTCTTGGCTCTGATCTACCGCTCCACTTGACGAATCGCCCAGACCGCTCATTGTTACTGCATCGTCGTCCTTTTCTTCTATGTGGCTGGGTACCGACACACTGGCAACGGACCGCCGCCTCCTGCGAGTTTCTTTCTGGATCTCCTCTAGAAGACAACGGCTTTGTTCTAAACGCCATGCTTCTATCCACTGCATCTTATCCATTTCACGGGTCTTCTCATTTTCGGGTTCGATCTGATTTAAGTCCAAACTTCCGAGTCTCGTCACGCGGTGAGGATTGTACTGTTCGAATGCGTAAAGTCGCTCCTGCATGTCGGCACCTTGGTCTAACCGAAACATGCCAAGACCATTATGGCCAGGGACAACAGGTGTTGCATAAGGATGAGCGTGCGGCGGGTCGTAGAAGTTAGGAGCGGAGCGAAATTCTGCAAGATGGCTGTCCAAGCTGTCCAGCTCGGTATCGTCATCTTCATCCGCCGCATCAACAAAGCTTGAAGATTGCTGCTGCCCAGCACTGGGACCCGATGGCGCAACTGTACCAAGGCTTCCAACTTCACTCAGCCGCGAACGACCTGGTGTGCTATTAGTCTTATGAGTTGAAGTTAAGTAGGACGTCGAGGTGCCGGCATCGGTAGGGGGCGAGAAGAGAACCCAGGTCTGAGATTCTTGGACAGCTTGAGAAGCTGACGGAGGCAGTTGTGACGACTCTTCATCTTCAGGTGAGGGACGAAAGACCCGCTGAGTGGCCTGGCGTGTAGGTTGCTGAAAGGCCATCTTGAAAAAGGAGGTAATTCAAAGCTGAGGTTAAGCTGAGGTTGATGGTGGATATTCACGATGTATGACGAAATACGTGCTACTGGGGAGGATCCCAGCTCGATCTTAAATAACATACAATGCCGGTGACTAGCTCCCGTGTTGGGGTAGAGTTGTTATGTCAATTATAGAGAGCGACTTGGGTGGCGGCTCGAATACACTGCGCTATGTACGTAGGTTTAGTTTCAGAATTAAAGAGCAGGTCAAGACAACCGGACCACGAACAGCTGAGGGGCGAGAAACATGGGTGAGGAGAGGCTACACGTAGAAAAGGTCCGGCCCTGCAATCTATCGAGAATGGGTGGGCGTGGGCGGTGTCGACTAGAAAAGGGATTCAGGATAGAAAATCATAGGAAAGCAGGAGAAATCAGGGCGGGATACAGGTGTGTGACCTGTCCGATTGGCGGCCGTAAGAATGTTTAAGGGACCAGTCGATGATCCCAGGTCGCGTGGGACGTTTTGGTGGTGGTTGCAATCTGGGTACAACTTTACCTCAACGTCGAAAGCAAAAGCAGAAGCAGAAGCAGAAGCGCAAAGGAGAGCGCATAGAAACCCCTAGGTTAGGTTAGTAAGTATAAGAAAAACATGCAAGAACCCACCGGTCGGCAACCCCCATGCAACCAGGCAATCAGCCACCCAACTACCTACATGTACATGGTACAATACATGGTACAATATATAATACCACCAATTGGATCGCCCAATCTTGGGAGGTGAACAGCACATAAGATATACCAACTAACCTAGCGGTTAGTTAGGCAAATATGATGCCATAGGTTGGGAGCTAGATGCTAGACCGATTTAATAAATGTATTTCAGGTACCCAAGCCGCTCGATACATTATCTTAGGTACATGTCCACTACATGTCCACGGGTACATAATGTAGCGAAAAAAGGATCGGGGAAACGGTTATAGCCAGGCCGATGCTAAATCGAATCGATTACCTCATTCTAGCTCTTTGATGAGTCGCTGCAGCTATGACTTTTGTTGTTCGCATCACGTAGACATTCGCATAGGCACTTGACCCCGTCCATAGGTAGGTATGTAGGGTGCAATCATGTACATAGGTACCTACTAATGTATACCTTAATACGATAGATTACGGGTCTTCCCGGACTTGTGTTATCGTAGTGGGGTTTGCGATATCCTATGTAGGTATCCACTCTTTATGTAGTGTACCTAGGTACCCAACCTTCTATGTAGAACGGCTGGCTAAACGGGCGAACTGATTATTATTACACGAGCTCTGATAATAGAAACCGTCATACAACCCCCATCATATATTAAAGTTGCCTACCTATATCAAACGTAAGCACCCCTTACAGAAGGCCTTACAGAAGGGCATCCCGTCGCCCGATCATGTCAGCCTCATGTTTTATTATAGAACTTGAAAACGTTCAGGTGCGATAATCTACAATCTGACTTACACTACCCAAGTATAGCATCAAATGACAACAAAGAGTCAGGGCATGTACCCATGATCAACACCAATGACGCGATAGATAGGTGTAGTCTCGTATCTCATACGGAGTATCTCATACGGAGGATCTCATACAGATTACATTAAGCTATCTTGACGACCTTAGGTAGTATCAATTCTTATCATTGACTTCATGTCGAGATTAGCGCCACACCTATGTACCTAAAGTACTAGATCCTGATGTAAGTCGCTCAATATGTGCCTATGTAATCTCTCAAGTTGACGTATCTGCATATATTCCGAATTGCTTATCACTCTTCGTGCTCACTCTCAATTATATGAGTCACTTATTATGGAATATACTACATACCTACCTACCTATGTAGGTTACTTTAGTTTGATACGTACCCAAAGTAACCATTGCGTCTTGACTACGAACCTCAGATAGCGAATATACTTCCCAGCCGTCTTTCTATTCAAAGCCTTCTTACATACACAGGATGAAGGCATATAATTGACTTTTAAGATGCCGATTTCCCGGGGGAACGGACAAGTCTCAAAAGATTGCCGCCGAAGATCGGGTCCGTTATAAAGTGCGACGGTGGATACGATGTATGTACATATGTAGGTCGACAGTCAGATCCCGACTACATACATAGCATGTCACCCGCAGGCCTTTGGGCCGTGAAATCATTGTACAATACGTTTTAAAGCCTCCCGTTGCCGGCGGACTACCAGTAACATATTGGTTCCTGAAAAGCTTTGACAGCGCTTCACTCGCCTAAAGCCCGAATAACCTTAATGACGGCATGGTTTACGTCTGCATCGTACGACGAGAGGGGAGAAAAGCGCAACAGGTCAAATTGCGCCGTCGTAAGTTTGTTAACTGCACCCGACAGACGGATATAGTGTCAACGTGGACCTGCGCATGTCGTGAAGGTTCCACCTTTCCCTGAAGACAATGCGACCGGCGCCCCGGCAGCGCGGCGGGTCAAAGTCCAGCAGGTCCTCAGATCAAGAGGGGCCACCCAAATCTATGTAGGTAACGAACATAACCGTCCCTGACACAAGAGGGGAACCGCCATAGCCTCATTGGAGATAGATCCCCGCGAAAGTTATGAGGCTTCTGAAGCCCTACGGCGACGGCTCGTGCTGAGTGGAACCCACGAATTGGAAATCTGATTGGTCTCCTCGATACCGATTGGACGTGGTTTGTTGTCTCTGGGAAGACGTGGATACGGTGATCTGTCAGTGGAGAACGCTCCGGCGAATGACAGCAAGCCTCCCCGGAGGATTGGATATCACGAATGTTCGTAATGCGGTCACCGACTCTATCGCGGCCAGTAAGGAAAATGCCTCGCCGCCGAGGAGGTTGGTCGAGCAATTAGGCTTAACCATAGGAGAATATCAGAATGGGTCCGGGACGCAGCTCAAATCCACAGCTCAACGAGACCCTGCGTCGTCTCCCAAGAACAATTCCCAAAGAGCAGGTCCGTCTAACTAGAGAGAAATGAAGTGCATACCCACGTGGATGTGGCTCTCCGCCAAAGACTTCTAACCCCCTAGAAATGGAGCTGTTGTAAAAAGAAGTGGAAGATACTAAGCTGTAACGTAGCTGTGAGTGGGCTAAAAGAGCAAGCGGCAGTTATCCACCAGAGGATCCAAGCGAGGGGGTTCATATTAGACATCTCGAAATAGGCTACCAGAATTTGTTCAAGTAGCGATACCAAGTCTATATCCATTTTATTAAGTATATCAAGCAAGATAAGATGGACACTCTTCTTGTTTACCAAGTCGTAGCGGGTCGTTGCACACTTAACTTCCGTAACATCAAGGACCAGGTCGCTATGCGATCGCCATAAGATTAGCCTATCATTCTCTTGCACAAAATATATCAGAGGACTCGATAGACGTATGAGTTGGCCATGCAATTCCACCTCTTTCACGGTCTAGGTCTAGATCTAGATCTCTCGTCAACCTCATAGATGCGCTTTCAAGTGCCAGTCCTTCACTTTCATCTCTCTACTAAACTTCGGGGTTAGCACACGTCTTTCGGCTACTATCATCAGTTTTCTATGACCAATGTACAGTGGCACTGAGCACCTCCCGCCCCAGCATAGCCGTCGATCCCCAGCCGAGACGAAATCAACCGCTACTGCAGGTTAGGATGGTATTCTTAGCTTGACCGTTAAAAGCTTGAAGAGGAATGTCCGCATACTTTGATTGACAATGGAACCCTTCATAGATGTGCTACTAGAATACAGGGGTGTACAGATCAGCTAACCGATAGTTAGGGGAGTGATAAAGCTAAGGTAGAATGAGAAAACCTGGAATATCTTCGTTGTTCCGCCATACGTACTGAGAGTATCTGTTCTTCTGAGTGTTTATTTGGAATCATAAGATCTGCTCTCCTAGCAGTAAGCCAAATCCTTCGTACAATACATTATTTGATCGTTCATAATCAGTTCTATAGAGCGAACATAACAAGAGTTCCCAACCTTCCCTCATAAATCAGGGTCCTAGTCAGTCGATGATTGGGACTAATCGGCGCCCAGGTTTCAAGTTTCCATGTGGTGATCGGTCTGCTAGTCGAAACTCCATGACTATCAAGGACTTGCCACTAGGCCTAGGAAATTCCTTGCTCATTAGTTGTTCCGCCTTTTTCCAGTCCATCGGTATGTACCCATGGTGTATGTTGACCAAGCCTCCCTTTCTTGCCTTCTGTCGGCGTAAAAGACTCTCCTTTCCTGATACTTGACACATTTGGCATACTATCTGATCCTTATCACCGAGGCCCCATGACTCCCGTACAATCACATACATTTCAGTTACTTGATCGCAGTGGCCCTGGATAATGGCATTATCTCGTGTAACAACCATGAGATGAACGTTGTTGTTATCCACCAAATCGTGAAGGACCATTGCTTGCTTGAACTCATCAACCTCGATAGCGACTTCGCTATGAGATCGCCACTGGATTGGATTATGACCAGTCTTGCGTAGAGGAGTTTTGACGGCCTTGTGGGTTGGCTGATGGGTTGGTGTAAAAGCGATTTCCAGTTCACGGTTTGGGTCGATGCCGATACCTCTGACAATATTGTTCTCGTCAACCTCCATATAATGCCCTTGTAAAATTGGTAATTGTGGCTCGTCTCTCTAATCAAAGCTTAACATTAGTTTACAGCTTTTCACTACTACCAATAGGTTTAATATACCTTCCGTTTACGACAACATTGAGGACCTTCCACCGTTATAGAGTCGTTATCTTCCTTAGTCGAAGAAGTATCGGCCGTGGTCGTAGCTGCAGGCTGAGATGGCATTGTCGGTATTGTCATTGAGATTTGTACCAGAAATAAGGTGTCTATGTTGTTTAGGTCGCTAGAAGAACTTCTTGAAGTTGCAGAATTAGAATATGAGGAGAGGTGTTGAACAGTCAGACAGCAATCAAGAGGATAAGAGGTTTAAGATAGGCAGCAGTCATTTAAGCATGAATAATTTCTAGAGGTCTAGTACAGATAAAACGCACTGCACCTTCTGTCTCATGGCATAGGTTGTTATGGATAGTACCAAGGTAGGCAGGCACTACCTCTGAATAAGTTGTTGCTGTTGCCTCCTTCCACACTTGAAAAATGTCATTCCTGCGCGAGAGGTTAATTAGCTACATGTAATAGCAGTACCAGTACTTTGTCCCATTTTCAACTTGACTTTGGCGATATCTACCTATCCAGTAGACTGTATGAGGTTTTTGTACGCCATAACCTTCAAGTACCACAATTTTATATTAGACAGTAGGTACTACCTTTAGATAGATACATACCTAGGTATATACTGGATTGTAATTTTGTCATCGAGCAGTTCATGGATTGTATATATGGCAGTATACTTGGTTTTGGCAATAGATACTACCCCTCCCCCGCAATAATACTATGAGGTATACAGTGAAGATAGGGATAATACTTAATAGGCCAGCTTTTGAATATATCAATAGTGTCATTTTTAAGATGAAAACTATATTAACGACTACCCGAATACATAAGCGTGGAACTATAGATATATACATATTTAATTTCCTTCTTGAAATTGAATATGACGATCTTTCATTTTCCCATCTGTTACACGGAGCCTCACCTCCTATTCCTAGAACTAGCAGCTACTATAGTAGGCCCCTACCTCTTATTCTGTACTACACGATACCCCAACACCTACTAGTTTATTAACTGGTAATGAGGCTTAGCTTTATGCAGTCAGAAACGTCCCTTGCTTGGGCCATTTAGGGATCATCTTGGCTCCCTTCATTGCTTGGACAACTTTCATGTTAGTGCATTTGCTCGGGAATCACTGACCGATTTTGTGCAATCGGAAATGCGCACAATGGGTTCGAGATGCTGTAAAAGTAGATGACGGCGTAGATTGGGATAGTTGGAAACCGGCTGCGTTGTACCGCTCAAGGAGGACACTGGCTTGCAGTTGTTATTATGTAGGTAGGCTTGGAAACTTACCCAGGTAGTTGAAGAGAGTTGAAGAGTCATTGCCGTAAGAATCATCGCTAATCTCTGATGGAAATATACGGTAAGCCTCGGGCTATATACCACACGTCGATAGCTCTAGAGTACTTATATGAACTGCCATGGGCTCAGCCATTGTCTATCTGATTTCTTGGTATGCTCGATATTAAAGGCTAGGTTAGTACCCTTTTGATAATGAGAATTGTAGTCATATTAGGGGACTACATAAGTATCTCTTACAGTACAGTTTTGTGATATATACCGTGTTAAATACTGTAGTCCACTAGGTTAAGAGGTACCTACGGTAAATGGACATTCAATGTTCCATTATCAAATCAAACCTTAAGTTTTTTTTTATTTTTTATTTTTACATCCAACTAGGTTACGTAATTACAAACTGTTACTTAGATCAAATGCAGATGCATTTAAAACAAAGCCAAGATGTGACTTAAAACATCTAGAAAAACAACACGGACCATACCATGCTTCATACTGCATTCCACCATCGCGAATCAGAGAGCGACACATTCGAGCATGTTGATTTGTTCTTGATCATGACGTACTCTATGCGTATATCAACAGCTATATCAACAGCTATATCAACAGCTATATCAGCAGCCATAGCAGCAACTATATCATCAACAACATGCGTATGTGTAATCGTGCAATCGTGCATTGCCGTATGGAAGATGCAATAAGTTTACCTTCGTCGAAGATTATCGCAAGACCCCCCTAGTTCGAGAGGAGATGAAAGGGATATTTGAATTAATTCCTGAGTTTCCCCCCTTTCCGTTCTTCAAAAAGACAGGGTTCACCTTGTCAAAAGAAAGCGGCATTATCGGACGAAGATGGTGGGTTCTCGGGCTTTATCGTGGTTTTCTTGGACGGCTGAAACGACCAGCATAGCCCTGCCATGCCACCCCTTTACCCCTGCTCACATCATCTACAACATCTCAAAATTAATCAACTCTCCCCACGCATAGTCGTGCAAATCCTACGCCGACACGAGGTGTGTGCTCGTCTTTGCATTAACGATGTGAGCGATGTGCTGGAGGGAATAGACAGATCAATAACCTGGTGAGATTAACCGCTCTATTGTTATGGTGGGATGTATGGTCGATTTCGATTTGCAACATTATCCACACACTTCTTAATGATTTACATATACCATGGGCCCGCTCACGTATACAACCTAGCATGTACTCGTGAGGCACAGCTGAAATATCTTTTTGGCATTGCAAAGAATTCCCAAATGTAAGCGGGTTACAACATGTTCTTCGAGACAAAGTAAGAGGCAACTATGGCTTAAGTACTTTTCCCGAGTCTCTTCTGCAAGACAGCGTATCTACCCGTTGACTACCACCTACCTAGGTACCTATCTAACCTTAGCTGCATCTGCAATGTACCGCTATTTGCGTATATATTGTGGAAAGGAAGTGTTTTCGATCTACACGACCTTCGAAGTCGGAGTGTAGCTAACTAAGGATCTTCATCGCATCCCGCGGTACGATGAGATAAACGATAGATCCTCTCTCCATATTTATATTCTCCTTGAGAATTTGGAGGACGGTTACATAGTTACACTCGCGGCATCGAAATTAACGAAGTCTATGTAGGTTTCATTCAGCAGACCATCAAATGCACAAGCCCAACCCGGGTCCTGTCGCTCGAAAAACTGCTCTCTGATTGGCTCTGGATCAAGAAATTGAGGAACTATGCGTACCCTGGTCGGTCTTGATGCACCCTTGACCACACTATCCCGGAGCGGCTCGTGTACAATCACTTGCTTAAAGTTGCTTAACCGTCCATCCTGCTCCGTGACCCATGCCCAATAATAAACAGGGCCGGCCGGGGCGATCATGGAATAAGGGAGGGGCTTGGTTGGGTTGGTGTCAGGTCCACCTCCGTACAAAAGAGCTGAGAGACCCTGCACTCCATTCTCGATCTTAGTTGATCTCTTTTCCATCCCGGTTTCCTGCTGTGCGGTGGTTTCTTTCGTTTCTTGTTTCAATTCTCTCGCCTCAGTTTCCCGTTCGTATGAACGTATGAACGTATGCCTTAGGGTATAGAAATTGATCTTCACTCGGGATGGCTATTGTCGTAATATTGGTAACTTGGTAACTTGGTAACTTGGTAACTTGGTAACTTGGTAACTTGGTAATCATGGGCCGTATACGATCCGACACCCACACGTCTACCAGGGACTCGAATCGAAGACCGAGTGTTTGGGCAGGTAGTTTGCGGCGTGATCACATTCGCCTGGACGATCTTCAGTCCGACATGATTCAGGAAGACCAGCCGTATACCTCGTCAAAATCAGGACCGTCCAACGCTTCAAGACCTTCGTTTGCATGGCCTTTTCATGGCCGTCAGGGTTCAGAAGTACCTTCGACTGCGAGATCAAGTCATTTCACACTTCGAACTTGGGGACAGCCCCGAAGTTTCTTCCGCCCTCATGAAGATACCGCAAGCATCGATAGGAGTATTGTCCCAGACTACGTGGTCAACTTCTTAAGAGGAGAAACGCCTGAGACTCTAGCACAGAAGAAGAAGCAAAAGAAATGGGGCCAGCATGGTGTCGAAGTTACGCCCTGTAGAGGGACGTTCGCGTCGCATCCTATCGAATTTGGCCATTATCTCTCCCCTAGTGCAGATGTCGGTCGTGATCTAGATACAAGTGGTAATTGGAGTCAACAAAGTAACATACGGAGGCATATCACCGGATGGCGAGGTGGAATCATATTCAACACATTAATTTCGTTTCTAATTTTACTCGTTGGCATCATTTGCTTAATACTGGTCATCACCAAATCTAAACTTATATCTGGGGAATCATCCATCTTTTCGGGCGACTGCACAACAGCCGAACATATCAACGTCGGAATTCACATCGCTATTAACATATTTTGCGTCGCTATTCTTTCCGGAGCAAATTACGTGTTCCAGGTCCTCTCGAGCCCGACGAGACGAGAGTTGACGGCGGCACACGAAAATAAGAACTGGCTTGATATCGGCATACCCTCGTTACGCAACTTCACATATATCTCTGGGTTCAGAGCTTCGATCGCAATCATTGCCCTCGTGAGCGCGGTCATGACTCAAGTAATGTAAGTGTAGCATGGTCAAACGAGCCTTCATTATTATGCTAACAGTTTATAGATATAATGCGGTAATCTTCACGACTCAGAATGTAGTCAACTACGACGTACTGTTCGTAACACAATCGTTTCTCGACCACGCTCCTTTTAGCAACGATACGAAGTTCAACGAGGGCGGACTCTCTAGTATCGATATCACCAGACTCCAGGATGCCAGCAGCCAGAATACGCTGACCGACCTGGATTCGACGACCTGTCTACACGAATTTAGCGACATATTCCAACCTTCTTTTGATACTGTTTTACTTATCACGGACTCGACTTCCACTACATCGTCTCTCATTCATGCCAGCAAGTCTGGTACTCCACTAACTACATTCACTTCGAACAACAACGATATCGTGGCCCCAGACGGCTCACTTGTTCAACGCTGCCTCGCCCGCCCTAGTGCGCCGCAGAGCTGCAGTGTCAACCTTAGCGGTTCCATCCTAGGAGTCGCTGTATTACTCAACCTCGCATCCGTCATTAGCATGGCGATCATTCTCGCAAGGTCTACTTTCGATCCTCTCGTAACACTTGGCGATTCGATCCGCTCGTTTCTCCGCAATCCCGACCCGACGACGGCTAATATGTGCCTATTAACAAAGACCGATGTCAAACAAGGCCGTTGGGGTTCTAGCGAAGCTCGATTCTTCGTCCCAGCTAATCACTTCTGGGCACAGACTCCATCGCTCCCCCGCTGGGTGCTAACGGCGTTTGCCTGGCTGGCAATTGGGGCACCAACTGCGGTTGCTGTCGCATTCCTAGTCCCTAAGGTCACAGAAAACCCCTTCACACCCTTCGGCGTCGCAGTACCTCGCTTAACCTATCTTCTACCCTCCCCTGTCCAGGCAGCGCAGATGGCGCTCTTCGCCGCATTGCCACAGCTATTTCTCGCTATGCTCTATTTCGTCACTAACTCTCACCTCACAACGTACTTCCTTTCTCACGAATTATCGCTCTTCGCCCTCGGCCCTCGGCCTCTCCGAGTCTCCTCCAACGTAGCCGGCGGGCAAAATACAAGTCTCTACCTAACGTTGCCTCGTCCTGTCTCTTGGGCTTTGATCGGTTGGTTCGCCGCAATGGGATTTGCGCTCAGCCAAGCCATGTTTCCCGGCGTCATCATTCTCTCGTCACGTCGATCACCGAACCTGCCCCCCAACGAGATCGTAGCTATCTCGTTCAGTACGGAAGCACTGATCGCCTTGCTCGGTCTCCTTCTAATCCTAATCCTTGCCATCCTTGGTCTTGGGCTAAAACGCGCACCAGCAGCATCGCTGGCTAGTGGAGAGGCCAAGGGCAACCCGATGGTCTTGGGTGGTGGTTCCTGCAGCGCTGTTATAAGCGCTAAGTGCCACAACCACAATGTCGTTGCACCGGTACAGGACAGCGATCGTCATCCGTGGCTCCATCCTATTGCCTGGGGCGTTGTCGAGGAAGGAACCGGCATGCGGCCCGGCCGGTGCGGATTCTCCGCCAGTGGAACGGGCTGTGTGGACGCGGGGCGGAACTACGTCTGAGGGGTTTGGATTCAGCGTCATTTTTGGAATTTAGCGATAGCGAGGATGTACTAACTAAACATTCTATATATATACACATATACCCCCATCGCGTTCGCGGGAGCGTGGTTTTTCTTCCCCCTTTTCGGGTCTACGGTTTGGTCTCGGGTTCGGGTACTACATATATCGAACGAGGCGTTACGTGATGATTCAAGAGAGCGGATACGTCGAATATGCCTACGCCGGAAATGGGGGATAGGGTAGACGGACGAGCTGTCTGATTGACAGGACCGGGGCTCCTAGGAAGGTTCTCAGGCGGGATTGATTCTCGCAATGTAGCGGTTTAGCGAACGCGCACTACTACTACTATATCTACCTACCTACCTAGGTACCTAGGTAGGTAGGTAACTATTTAACCTAGGTTAATCTATGTAGATGGATACGCTGCGAAAAATAAAAAATGAATAAAGCTAGCTTATTTCTGGCATTTGATAACTCCCCTTCTCAATTTCTTGGTGAGGTACTCTGTCACGCACTTTGGAATTTCTACGAAGCAGACTGTTCACGCTGAGAAACGTTGAAAGCGCATATCCGAATCAAGATAAAATTCAACAAACTCAAAAGAGCCTTCTCCCTCATTCACCTAAACCCATCAACTCCGTCACGATACCAGACAACACCAAGAACACCGTTAATGCATAACAAGCAGGATCAATTCGATCCGCTAAACATCATCCATCATGTTGAAAAAAAACGACAGACAACTACTTAATCAGCCACTTGGTCTCCTATTCGAGAACCTGGTTTAGGTACATAAATCAACAACGACGTGACCACTTCCCGCCCTATCCCTTTTTCTCACGTAACCAAAGTCTGACGCCTGCGGCCCGCGGTACGCGATGCCTATCTGGAGCGATACAAAAAAAAAACGCCACCTATTAGAGAGTCCTTTGAAGAACGCTCAGAAAGATGTGCTGGTGTAGTATACATATCGATACAGAAGTATTTCCCCTAGTCTAGCCCGTCTACGATTAATCCGCGATAGCTTCCTCGTCGATGATCGCGCTCTCCTGTGGCTGCGGGACTCCGTTTTTAGCGTCCATTTGGACATTGGCTCTCGCTTTCTCCTGCGCCTCGACGAATTTCTCCCAGTACTGTGGATCCTCCTCGCGTAACCTCTTGACTATTTCTTCCCTGTGCTTCTGGAATGCACGAATGGGTCCCTTTTCTTGGATATCCTTCTTGATTTGCTCGTCTCCTCCCATTAACTCGTCCATTATACTTGTGACCACCGTCACATGGCTTGGATTATTCCCGACCTCCTCAGCACTGGTGAGTAGATCGTAGTGTTCGGGCTTGATTAGACCTGAACGGAATATGTGATTGACACGGAAGGCGCGGCCTTCTTCCTCGACTAGTGCTTTAGAGCTGTGCGAGATGATAGAATTAGACCGGGATCGAGATTGAGGCGAGCGAAGCTCGGTTTCCATATCCTCTGTATCTGACAATAAGCCGGCATCTGCCTCGGCAGAGGAGAACGAAGTACGACTAGGCTCGGATGCAGCGGTATTCGTCCGATCCGGTATGCTAACTTCTGATGATATTTCACGTGTCTCTGGGAACTCGTCTTCGAAGCGTTTGATGATGCCCTCGATTGTCTGGTCGAGGAAGATGAGGCGGTCTGTAGCGAGATTAGTAACTATGAACTTGTGAGAGAAAGAAAAGCCTTACGATAGTTGTGGATGTCCTCGTTGGAAGATGCCTTGGCCATAGCCAGGGCTGGCTGTAACCGAGCGCGAATCTTCCGCGCACTAATAAGCAAGTATTTGGACATATCCTTGACCTTCGCTGGGGGCAAACGCGTTCTAGGCGTCGAAGTACCAGATTCGATGTCTCTAGTAAATTCACCTGAGGGTCGCCTGGTATCGTCTCCTCGGTTCTTTAAAACGCACGCCAAAGCCTTCACAACACCCGTGCCGCCAATTACATAGTCCTCGTCGGGTGCCGGCTCGATATCGCTGTCCACGTCCACAAATAGAGAATCTTCTTCGTGACCCACGAGATGCCGAAGTACATCCGGCAACTTCTCTGGCTGGCCGTCCTCACCAGCGGAATCTCGAATATCTGGCACGCCCTGCAAATTTCGCATGCAGTACACCACAACACGGTTTGCAAGCGCCTTGACAACCTCGCCAGATTCAGGACTAGGGTTATCTATATCGATCTTGATCAAAGTTCTCGATACACGAGCGGCGGCTAAAAGAGAAGCATATACCGCACACGCTTCTTCTTGGCCCTCCTCAGTCCGAGCATCGGCTAAGGTGACGATATCGGAATTCTCGAGTAGGTTAATATGCGCTAGGACCTTAATTTCAGGCAAGATCTCGGCAAGAGAAATCACTTGCTCTGAAGACATTGAAACATCCGCGAGATGCAACCTTCTCAAGCTATCCATCTGAGGTAGGTATCTAACGAAGCAATGTTAGTAAGGTGAAGTTCTACATATATAGAATTTGTTTACTTACTTGCGAAGCAATCCCATGGCATTAGGCTCAGACTCAAAGAGCGCACGATTATGTGACAGGTCGAGGAACTTGAAGTCGGGAAGTTTCGCCAACTTGGGAAGCATCTTGCATAAAGACGCCGGTATCAGGTTGCAATTAGCCAGGCTCATAGCCCAAAGCTCGTCCTTTTCATCAAAAGCCGCGGCGATATCAGCAATATGGTCTCTAAGATCATTACCGCCAAGGTCAATTCCTTCGCACTTCGCATTGCGCAGATATCTCGCTACATGTTGAGCACCTTGCGCATCAAGGCCGTTATTTGCTAGTCCCAGTCTTTTTACTCCTGACTTAAGGATCCCGTCGACTACGGCGCCCAGTTGATTTGCTGTCAACCCGATCGAGCCAATGTTGAGGAGCTCCAGCTCGGGACCAGCTAAACGATCCCCGATTGCCTTAGACAATAGTAAAGATAAGTCAATTGGAGCTGGTGTACTTTGTCCAACGCTGTGATGAAGGTGATAAGTAATTGGAGTTTTTGTAGGTTCTATCGGCATAGGAAATGGTAAACTCGAGATATCAAGATACTTGATGGAGTGGCACATGTGGATGAAGAGGCAAATATGTTTCCAGCCCTCAATAGTAATCTTACTATTGTTCTTGAGTACGAGTCTCTCCACAACGCCACCTTGCTCCGTCGAGTCTGCAGGCTTAGAACAGCATCTTCGATATCTGAGACTAGGTGTTTTTCGAGCTGCTAGAAGTCCGGCGAGAATAACACGAAAACCCTCATCAGTCAAACCACAGTTTTCAAGGATAACCTCTTTAACCGGGACAACAGCAAGAAAATCCCCTAACGTTACCAAGTCTGGTAGGGACATGAAATATCCGGTAAGGTCAAGCTTCTCCACTATACCATTGGGGCAGGATTCCGTGGTTTTGGGAAGTTGCAGAGTAATCTTGGTGAGAATATCTGTCTCCCGAAGCTGACAGCAACGACGATATATCCTACCAGGGTTCGTCGTAGGTGCTAGCTGAGCTTTTGGCGTTCCGGATCGTATCGAGAGTTCGTCTGTCGAGCTGTCGCTGTCAAGATATAATTCCATCGGAATAGTCCCCTTCTCGAGAGCTTCTCTGCGTTTCTGTTCCTTCTTGGCCTTTCGTTCCGCCTCGCTCTTCTTTTTCTTTTCCTTCTTGCGGGTCGTCTCCTTTTCTTTTATAGGCCCATCATCATCCGTAGTACTATTTCCCTTCTGATCTCCATTCGTCACCTCGGTACCTTCTTTCTCGGGCTCCTTCGGCAGGGTCTCTCCAGTCGCCTTGACCAGTCCGATATTTTCCTTCTGCTCTTCTAATGCTTTTGGGTTCTTCAATGCTTCACCTTCGCCCTTTTCTGTTATCTTCTTTTTCTGCGTTTTATCAACAGGCTTCTTGCACGCCGTTTCTTCATCTGTATATTTAGGCATAGGCGCAATTTCGACATCGACACAAAAGGCTACGCGACGAAGTTTTGCCTGGCTTAGCTCGTTCACTCGACACCTCTCTCTATGCTTGTCAACATTGAGAATTCTTCGCTCCACGAGGCCATGGCTGGCTCTAGAGCCCGACGCAATGACGCTATTCGAAGACGACAGGCGACGAAGGACTCCCAACAAGCCAGGCTGGTTCGTCCTCGGAGGCGCGGGTATGTATGGAGCATCGCCATTCTGGCGCGACGCATGTGGAAGGACGGCATTCTTGCTCGGTGTAATCTTAGGTAAAGGGGCTACTTCATCGGCGTCGGACTCGGGTATAGGAGCCGGAGGCGTGGTATTTCCGTTTGCTGGAAACGTAGAAAATTTGGACGAGATATTAGAAAACCACGAGCCTCTCCTTTGGGGTGGTGTACCATTTTGACTCAGTGATCCTTCAACGGATTGACTTCTTGTCCTACCCGAACGCTGAGGTATCGATTTAGTGGCAGCGGGCGGCGCTATCGAGGTATTATGCGCAGAGGACGATGTGTCTGATTTTCCATTAGGTTTGCTCGGGTTTGAAAGCTTTAGGCGATTCGAAGCAGAGGGGTCTTGGCTTTGGTTGGGCGAATTCCAGTTGGTACCATGGTTGCTCCAGTTGTCTACATTTCCAGGGTTTGTTAGTCCCTATAACTTATACTCAAATAGAAAGAAAAGTCCTCTAACACCGAGACATGGACATTACCTTTTCCATGTGTCATCCAGCTCACATCCATAACATGCTCCATGCTGGACATTGCTTCCTTTGTGTTCTGACCTACTGTTCGATTCCGCCGACCAATCCACTTCCCTTTGATCGATATACGGAAGATATATTGCGTATCCCTTGGAGTTGGAGTATACACCCGATTATATGTAAATCCGTACGGACGTATCGCTTGTCTTGTCTTAGATCGTGGCGGCGGAGTAGGTCTTGGGGTAAGTACTCGTTCACGAGGGTGTTGGTTGGAATAGGTTGGATTGGGTTCTATGTAAGATAAAAACCGATATAATACGATTTGGCATTCGTGAAGCTGCCAGTTGCCAGTTGCTAGTTGCTAGTTGCCAGGTCAAAGAAATAATAAGGATGAGTTGTTCCGACAAAGCATTGTTGCCAACCGACTACGATATGTATTTGCTGATCAAGCAAGGGCTACGTCCAAGCCATCGCCATTTTCGAAAGTCTGAGTAGTTGCTACTTGGATCGATATCAGACCTTCTTGGATGCGTCCCGATTCTAAATCTAAAGGGTTCAAAAGAAGACAACAGGACACGGAATAAGTATGTAACCTAGGTATGTAGAAAAGGCTAGAGCTTGACTTGGGTGGGGTTCACCAGGTCCATATGTAGGAAGTGATGCAATATATTTATCAGGGTCAACCCACTACTACTTTGGACTAAGGTAGGGCCGGTTTGGTAGTGAGTATAGCTCTTGAGTGGACCGGAGGTTGACGACGGGTAGATGATAGTAAAGGGATGGGATGACTAATTAATTAAGGAGAGCTTTTAATGGCCGTATTATTTATTGCACGATAGTAATAGTAGTAGTATTATTAGAAAAGGGAGTCAAATAATAAGAGGCGGAAGAAAGTAAAGTTGCTAATGGTCAATTAGAGAAAAAAAGATTAGGAGATAAATGTACAAAGTTTATGTCAGCAGCCGCAATCACCGGTGCAACCCCAGAGTAGTACATAAGTAACGCTAGTACATAGATGCATACCTACCTAGGTAGGTAATCAAGATTTATATGTAAGATACATGTATTCCGTGCTTATTTATTCCACTCAAACCCCCCAAGTAGTTTTATTAGAATGTTGCACAATACGGTGCGTGCGACATGGTCAAGTTGAGATGAGGCGGGCGGTCTGGGTCTATTTCGTTATTCCGCGAGATACTGCGACGGAGTCGGCTTTCAGCGCTAATCCAGGCAAATGGATTGCTATGGGTGCTTTTCAGTGGGACAACCAGCCGCTGTCAATCCAATAACGCCGGACTTTACAGGGGCAATACGCAAGTATCTGCCCACATAATTGTAATAGAACGGGTACATTTACGGGGTACCCCCGGTACAAGCCGACGCCCCGATGCGGTCATACGTGCGTTGTTTTCCGGCGTTGCGTGCGCTAATAGCGTGCACGCTAGAGAATACCCCAATTAATGTAGCTAATGTACCTAGCTAGGTAATGTAGCTAATGTAGCTAATGTAGTCCCAATTAGTCCAATTAGCAAGCCACTATGGCGCTCGGATCAATAGACGTCACATGCTTTCTTTCTCAGCTGTGCAGTTTAGCTCCAATATTATGGGTCAGGAAGCATGGAGAAGCAGGAGGGGCAACAAAATCACCCAAGAAACCAAGACAAATGGCTGAATGCGTGCAATCAAACCACTTACACCCCAGACTGAGGTGAACAGATGCCCTCATAGCTCATAGAAGCGAACCAGCATGAAGAGAGCATGAACCCATCAGGTGACCGGCTTCTGCCGACAGAATAGAATACCATACATACATACATACCACATACTAACTACCTATGCCATAACTATACATATATGACGACTTTCCCATTTCAATTAACTACGCATATTAGGAAGGAGGAGGTCATTGTAAATCAACCAGCGTCGTCAAGCCCCTCGCCGGTATGTAAAGGCTTTTCAACCCGTCTTTCTCATCCTCACAAGGCAATCAATATCAATCAACCAATCAATCAATCAATCAATCAATCAATCAACCACTCCAGGATGGCGATCCAGGGGGAACAAATACAGTATACCCCAATACACCTAATCCAAAAGCAATCCTTCTTTATGTAGCCTATTATCCAGATTGGCTAGTCAGGTCCCAAAAGACCCTTCCAGACCACCTCGTTCCCTATTTTTCAACCACATTAACGAGCTGATACTTCGTACTTACTTCGTACTTATGTAAGTTTTGACTTGGCAATACCAAGATGACGGCATCTTTTACTGACCTATTGGTCACCGTTTAAGATAAGCCCGTGTGTTTGTTAGTGTAGTTATGTAGGGCAATGAAATACCTCTTTTGCCATTGGCCTAGCTGAAGAGCACAACAATTAGGTTTCTTCAAAAACAAAAAATCCACGCCAACCCTATTCATCTCTACCTTAACAAAGAGAGATGGGACGGTAGCTGCATAAATATGTAAGTCGGTACATCTTATACGTGACACGTAGTTGTTGTATACTCTCAACCACAACTATCGAGTTCGATAATGAAACAAGTTGCAATTGGCTATGCATAAATACCTATAAACGCGCAAAACAAGTACCAGTCTTTATCAACTAGGGACTCGTTGTTATTGGTGATGAGCTCTAAGATTGTGATATGTTATCGTGATGGCATGGCGAGGCCCTACGTACGTAACCCAGTGGACTATACTGCCTAGAACCGAGCGTCTATCTATTATCACTTAAACGCAGTGTCTATGGCTGGAAGTGAGCCTATTACTTGGCAGATAGATGCATTGCTTCCCAACTCGATCCCTAGCTTCAAACCACACTTTCGATAAAGAAGTGCAATTGCAGTCCCTTGACAATGAATGGAATATATATGGTAGTTACAACTAGTTGGGCACAAGTTTTATTAACTGAGTGGTATCCTTTTTTTTTTTTTTTTTTTGGATTTTGAAGGTAGTACCCAACACCTAAGAGCCACGAGGTATGAATAAGCAGAATCACGAGCGAGGGTTGTATTCGGCGGTATCCTCATGCATACAACGTCGGGCGTACCATTCCGCAACGACGCCTCCTTAGGGGCGATGATTTAATAAGCCGGGACAACTTACATTTGCATGACTCCGTCAGACGCATGGTGTTGATAATTCCGGTATTCTGTCTATGCACGATAGACAAGTGGTATAGTTGTTATGAAAACGGAATCTAAACTTGGTGAGCATGCTATTTTCTTCCGAGATCTTGAATCTTGTAGTCTAGGATTTTGTTATTAAAGGGGCCCCCTTTTTGTTTTATTTCATAAACGTTCCTCCAAGGCTCACTACTATGTATTCCATTGAGACCTGTAGTATTTACTTTAGGTGAAACTAGAATACCTACCTAAGGGTAACTTTTGAGTTCTTACGGTTCGAAAATTGATAGGAGATCCATATATAGGGGGGCGTAAAACGATCAGCCGTGTTTTATAATGGAAATATGTATTAACTCAACAGCTACTAATTTCTCAATCTGAAGCTTTTTGAACACCGGTATTAAGTGATCTATCTTCTGCCACGTTCTCCTCCGTATTGGTATCTGGTTTTTATTTTATTATGAAACCATTGTCATTGCTGTCTGTATATATGGCTGGAAAGGGGACTACAAGAGAATTGTAATTATGACACCCCCAGCTTGCTCACCCCAACTCTGCGCAACCTGTCCCGAATACACAGTCGACAAATCATGCAGTTCCGACCAAGGCGGATGCGTCGACTTCCCATCCGGGCCAACATTCACAACTCTGCCGCCATCAACGTGCTTCTCCACCCAGTCCAGCGTCACTACCGTATGCACAAGATTCACGTACGGGCCCTCAGCAGCCTGAAGCGCCTGAGAGTCCGGGTCCACCCGCACCTTTTCGAGTTCCGCGAAGGTGCGGAAATAGAACTCGAATGTGATGTCGTGATCCTGTTGGGTGGAGATTTTAGTAAGTAGTATATGGTATATTTAATGAGAACAAACTCACATCGATAACCCAGCTCCGGTTCCCACGACGGTTCATCTCCTCTAGGGCGGCGCGATATGGTACCGGCGTGAAAATCTGGAGAAGAAAAGAGGGTCGTTAATTTACCTACTATATATTTGCTTGCTCTTTCATACCTGCTGGTACATCTCGATACCGTTCCGGGCGTGGATACTTGCACCTTTGGTAAGATACTCGCGCGAGAAAGCTTCGTTGTGCTCATGTCTGTTTTTGTTATTGCCATAGACCTGTAGTGTGAGCCTAAGAAGACAACATGGTGATGCTCCTTTATCGTTGCTAGGTGTTGATATTGCCAGAGAGTTATTTTATAGAGCCCGTATAATAAGTATATTTGCTTGGGTTATTTGCTATGGGGGAGTAGAGATGATAGGCCTGGCTGCTAGAGTTCAACTATACTGAGCAATATGTTGAGAAACAGACATCATATATATCTCCGAAGCTCTGTGCTCCACTATTTAGTATATATAATCATGCCCATGTTTTTTTTTCTATACATAGTCGGGTGAACCATAAAGGGCCACAATTGAATTCATATTTTTATTTCCCGCTTGAAGACCATGGAATGCTTCTTCGAAGCAGATATCGAGATATCCGAGGTCTCGGCCGGCCTAACAACTGCAATAGCTCTAGACATCGAAGCCTATTAGGCCGACGGCAACGTCGTTTACATCGTTGGACAATAACCAAATTCCCATCTTTCAATACCTATAATATGAGGTCTTGAAATCATACAATAAGACAAGATCGTGTTTAACTCCACCTATGACCGTTATGTAGTGTTATTATAGGATTAATCGAAGACGGAGTTTACTTGGAAGCGGAGTTTAGCGACATCCTACTCGAGTTAGGTCAATTCATTGTCTAGTATATTGGCGAATAGCTAATGTTCAATTGCCCCTTGCGTATTTGAGAAAATCCCATCTTTAATATTAGAATCTGGATGAAAATTAAGCGTGGTCGCGTGCGGGTATCGGGCAGCGTTTCCGCAGTAGGGTGAATCCATCGACATATACTTAGTCGATACCCATATTAGGTTAACTACGGGATCGGCATGATTTTGGTACTCTGCTATGTACCTAGGCAAGTTGTAAGTCATTTCTTACGGTAGGTACTCCCTAAGGTATCTAGGTAGGCAAATAGTCAGGACAGCAGACTGCCTACGAGCTAGGGAAATTACCTAGCGATCACGGACACATCTTAATGTCAAGACAATGACGGTTGATAAACTTCATTAATTCGTTTAGTAACCCGTCAATAAGCCATCCCCATGAACTCCGATGCCTGAAGACAACCGTAAATACGGAGTGTCATTTTTATCCTTTCCCAGAACCCAGCCGCTTATTCCTCGCGGAGCTCGGCAATTCTAGCCTTAACCTTCTCGCGCCTCTCATCCTTGGTGGACTTGGGAGTCCTGAATTTCTTGGACTCTGCCTTCCACTCATCCTTGCTCTTCTTGGGGGCATCGCTCTCAGCCTTCTTGAAGGGGTCCTCTCGGATAGCAGAGTGGGCCTCGGTGTATAGTTCCTCAAGACCGTCAGCCTCAATGTCGTCGTCCAGGTACTTCTGGAACTGGCTCTTGTATCGTTCCTCGTCGTCATCGGCTAGGGTCTCCATGTACTCGGCAACGTGACCACCGTAGATGTACTTCTTCAGGGTCTCGGCGTCAAGCTCCTTGGACTCTATGTCGAAACCGGGGAATCGGTTCTCGGAGTGGGGGACCAGGATACCACCATCGGAAGCACCCTTCATGACACCGAAGACACGGGCACCAGTGGAGGTGCGGGCAAGACCAACATCAAGGAAGGCCTTGAAGGGTCGGCGCTCTTCACCATCGTGCTCAGCGGCCTCGGTCAGGCTGTACTCTCCATCCGGCTCCTCAACACCAGTGAAGGTCTCGTCGAGGCCGAGCTTCTTGAGGACACGACGGGCAAGGAGCAGGCCAGTGGCGTAGGAGGCAGCCCAGTTGGTAAGACCGTGCTCGATGCCGTAAGCCCTGAGTTCGTGGGAGTAGGCAGCGGCGAAGACCTTGTCACCGGAGATTTCAGAGGTGACGATCTGAGTGATGATGTCGCGGTTGGTGAAGCGGACAACTAGGCGGTACTTGGGGGCGTTGTACTTGTTCTTGGCCTGGGTGATCAGGCGCTTGCGGGCATAGTAGTCGGTCTTTCCCTCACGGCGGCGCTTGTACTTGGTCTGGAAGCGGCTGTTATGAGGTATTGGTTAGGCTGACTATCTTCGTAACAACTAGGATCGTTTAGTTATATTGGTGCATTACTTACCTGTAGTAGGCACTGCTCTTGATTGACTTTATGAACGCCTGTCAAGATCCCATCGAGTCAGCAATTTGCGCTTCAGATTTTTATTTTCCTCCATTCCGAAGCATCTTGCATTGACTCTCACGATCAGATACCATTCTTGCAATATTCACCGTTTCTGGAATTGCAATGGCTTGTGTTCATCATGTACTCACCATCTTGATTGAATTGGCTGATGGGCAAATATAATCAGCACGGTTGTCGAAAGGGTTGGAGTTGAGGAAAAAGATGAAAGTTGCGACAAGAGAAAAGTTGTGGGCGTAATTGTAGTGGATGTGGGCTAAAATTCGCTTGTGAACCCTTGCTTTGGTGGGGTACGAATCAGAAAGCCTCAAACCGAGGTGGGCGACGACTTGGAGAGGCCCACTTATCTGGTTCTCTAAACAAAAGTACTTTGTACTTGCGATACTTTGTACTTGCGTGCCGTGGGATGGCTCGCATCAACCGAGGCATGTCTTCCATGAGGGCCATTGACAATGACACATCTCATCAAATCAAATATCTGATAATATAAATCAGGACGTTTATTTATTTATTTATTTATTCTAAACGGTAATGCATGAAAGCTTTAAAAGACTCGGACGTCATAATGGTAGCCCATAAACAACCAAAAGTGCTCCTATTTGACATTGGAGGAGTCTGTGTAAGTCACCAGCTATTCAGACGGTATCATCAACATTTGCTATGCACTATCAAAAAGCTACCTCGCTTATGATTTCTTGTTCATTCTATCGTCAATACATACTATATTAGTATGAGAACGCTACTTACACGGAAATAGGTCATCTCGCCCTTTCAGTCCATATTAGATTATGAGCTGAGTCTAGGGATCCCACCAGGATGGATTAACCACTCGATATCAAAAACTGCACCTAACGGTTTCTGGCACAGACTAGAAAGGGGGGAGATTCTCCTAGACGATGCGTTTTATGCTGGTTTCAACGAAGACCTTCACGACCCGACGAGGTGGGCCTCATTCTACAAGGTCCAGCAGTCAAAGAACCCGAACCTCCCCAAAGAAATTCCTCCAGTGCCGAAGCTCGATGGACGTTGGCTTTTCAACGATATGATGACTTCTTCGACAGATCTAGATCCGTGGATGTATCCGGCACTCAAGAACCTGGAGGCTAGTGGGAAGTTTATCCTCGCCGCATTGAGTAACACCGTCATCTTCCCACCTGGCCACGCGCTCCATAGGGCGGATTTCTTCGCCGATCCGCTCCGGAGCTTATTTGATGTTTTTGTGTCGTCTGCACACGTAGGGCTGCGGAAGCCAGACCCCAAGATCTATCAGTATGCGCTGAGCGAGGCAGATAAATATGCCAAGTCTCATGCCGACGGGGAAAAAGGACGATCATTGGGCTGGCAAGAAGGGGTAAAGCCAGATGACATTATCTTCCTTGACGATATCGGCGAAAATCTAAAAGCGGCCAAGACATTAGGTTTCCGAACTATAAAGGTGCCCCTGGGGAAAGCATTTGAAGCAGTCGATGAGCTGGAGGCTATCACAGGTATCAAGTTAGCTGGTGACCATCCTAGGATACCTATTAAGCCGAAGATAGGGGGCACGCATGCTAAATTGTAGATACATGCACATGGGGGGCTTAGCCTTGATGTTATATTGGGAGAAATAGAAAGCCGGTAGAGAACTGCAATTAAATATATCACGTCATCTGGGCGTATGTGTAGCGACCTGTCTTATACTTATAGACATCTAATAATTTGACTTGCATGCTTATTGCCCGCTATCAGGAATAACATGCCTTGAGATGATATATACCTACCTGGTAGGTACCTAAGCTAAATAACCCCGGAGCCTTGATATCGTCAAATTATCTCCGAGAAAAGCTATGGTGGGGTTCTTATCATCGGGCCTTACCGTATTCCCAAGACAAGTACACAGGCAATCTTGACATACATATCTCAGCGTACTCTTATTCTTGGACTACATGTTAAGTAGTAGTCTAGGTAAGTATCGAAGAAATCTACAATAATCTGCCAGATTGCAAGCTTAAGAGAAACACGGCGCCATTGATAATGGAGACGGAACGTGGCACAGCGGCCGTATTGGTCCCAACTCTTTTCCCAGAGCGTAAACCGATGACGCCAGCACAGATCGCAGCAGGCATACAGGCAGCGCTGATAGTGCAGCGCCGCGCGGTGACCTTCGGCAAGCGACCTTTCGCCGCAGCACTGGTAGGACCGGACAATGACACGGTGCTACTGACGCACCAGTCCGTGGACCAGGTCAACCATGCCGAAAGCGAGCTGGCCAGACTGGCATACAAGCATTATACTAAAGAGTTCTTGTGGCAATGCACTCTCTTCAGCACGTGGGAACCGTGCGGAATGTGTACGGCTACCGCCTACGTGCGTCTGATATTTTTCATATGTACGCCTGTGTATGTACGCAGGTAGGTATCATGTAGTGCAACGGCAAGGCTGACGAACGGGATCACAGTGGGCACATATCGGCCGCATCGTCTTCGCGGCTAGCAACGACCAGTTATACGAATTGACCGGTCCGGGCAATAAGGAGAATTTCACTATGGACTGGCACACTAGGGACGTCTTAAAGGGGTGTCCGCAGAAGGATATCGAGGTTATTGGACCATTGGAGAACGAAGGCAAGGCGGTTATGGAGGAGAGTGATATATATTGGAGTAGGACAAGGTCAAATAGTGGCTGAGCGTCGGTTGGCTGTTTGGCTGTTTGGCTGTTTAGGGCTGAAATCGGGATTCCTAATACCTAGGACAAAAACAGCTACATACCTAGGTAGGTATGTAAGATGTAGATGATCGAGGCGTAGGAATAGGGGTCACAGCCTACATATGCTGTGACGTCAGATCATGTTTGCAAAACTCGACAGCCGAACAGATATCGAATTAGAAAATAGCTCCTAGATTATCTTCAAGGACGAATCCTTTTTGTACTACGGATGGCTTACGTGTATGAAAACCGAAATATTTGACACAGGTTATAAAGATATTCGATGTGTACCTACATAGGTACATAACTCATACGTAAGTGACTAGGTTAGGTAGGTTACGTCCTAACTACGGAATAACTAGATCTTAATTTTGGTGGATCAGTTCAAGGAGCTGACGAGGAATCGCAAGAATTTTATGTTTAGGGCGCGGCGTTATGTCATAAATTCAGCTTTTTCACACTAGGCAAAGTTAGAGAAATGCTGGTGGATTCAAATCCGCGATAGTTCTGCATGTAGTTCCACTTCCGTTAAAAGGGAACCAATGAGAAAACAGAAAAGGCAAAGAGGCTCGTAATAGCTGCGGGTAAGCATGTGTGACTTAAGTAAACATCCCCTGTTTTAATGACGATCCCCCTCGAATCTCAATCTTCCATTGTTCCACAGTTGCCAATTCTGTCTCACCGCACCAATCCGGTAGAAGAAAGGAGGATGCAAGTGCATGATATGCAGTCTGCCCTGCCGCTTAATTTGGAAATGGGCCACAAATAGTGAAGCCTTTAGCGTTGCCCTCTTCGAAATGTAGACTTTCCCTTTCCCCCGTTGCATCGTGACAACAAGTCCGCTTAAATTACATGGTTTCCTTTCTCGAAGCTCCACAGACCAAAAACTTGTTCACGGCGGTGTAAAGTAGTTGTCTGTATCAAGGCATTAAACCGACAGCTAAAGTCTCAGTTGCGGATTAGCTTGCGGATTAGCTTCTTGTGTAATATAATCCAATGGTACTTCGTAACTAGTTAGATGGAGTTGAAACATCCAAACATGACCTTTCAAGCTTTCCAGGCAACATAGTTTTGACCAATTAGATAGAACCCCAAAGATCTTCTGGAGTATTTCATTCGCTACAGATACGGTCACAAACAAATGCTCGCTTATGTAGGCATTTAAGATTCGTGCAGAAATGGGATGCACGATCGAAGGAGCATAAAAGGTCATTACGGCCAATTGGCCTGAATTCTGCTGCCTAGAGCCACTAATTGGGTTTCGTGCCTGGGCAATAAGAAATCGGAGTGGGTAAAAGAGGCAGATGTAGGGTTTTAAGGATGTAATTTTAAGTTAAAAGGAGCTGATAGTTAACCTAGTCAAAGCCTCAAAAGAGCGCCAGCTTGGCTTGTATGTATAAGGGTGTAAGGGTACCTAACATAGGTACTATTTATTACCAAGCTCTATTCTGATACGCCCTAAAAGTAAAGCACTTTAGTGTATAAGTGTAAGTGCAAGCGCGACTGCGACTGCGCAGTGGCCATAAGCGCGGCTCTGGGTCTTATTAGGTTCAATAACCTTACATAGAAACCCTGAGGACCTGTTTGCTTAACCTTTTCACTTGCAAATACAATAACCTGGATTGTATCAACGCATCAAATCAAATTCATTATATTTATTCATTCCTTATCTTCCTAACCCTAGGTACGTCAAGGTCGGCGTCACCACACATTCACCACACATTAATCTATACAAACCTGACTTTGTATTGTTCCACTCTCCTATTCCACCTTCCTACTCCCCCTGTCTTTCCAACCATCCTCTTCGACATTATTTTTTTATGAGCACGATTTTTCCTAGCAACAACTTTTGCTCAAGTCAATTTGACTTATCTTGGATTTAAAGAACGGACTGACACGGGATGATGCGCCATCATCCTTCCCATGAAACTTTCAAAGGGTCCTTGCAACCTCTGGTTGCCTCTCTACTGGAAATTCACCTTCCCGGCTATCCTAATCATAGCTTCATTCCTCCTATTTAAAAGTTTCTGGTCCGCTCAGGGTCCTCAAGTCGCGATTCAAGATCCCCATAGAGCACTCAACGTCAGCAAACCTAATACCGAGCCGCCTTTCGCCCATGATGATAGCAAGATTACGATCAACCTGGTGGTGGCTACTCTTCGGAAAGATGACATCTCATGGACAGAGGATATCAGGATGCCCAATCTCAACGTAATCCGCTATGTTACTGATGATATGAAGGCGCCGTATCATCCACCGGTGCCAAAAAAGGGACGCGAGGCGATGATCTATCTCACTTATATGCATGACTTCTACGACAATTTGCCAGATGTCACCATATTCACCCATGCCGACGAGAGTTCGTGGCATGTGGAGCGCACATTGAATTCGTCCCTGGTATTCGCCATGTCGCATCTAGACTTCAGCCAGGTTTTGCAGAGACAGTACTTCAACCTGCGCGTGTCCTGGAAAAACGCATGTCCGGATTGGATTAACACAACCAAGACCGAGTACGACGACTCTAAACAGGAACAGCACTTCATGCGCCAGGCATTTAGCGAAAACTTTGCGACGAACGATGTTCCCGAGATCCTTGCTGGGCCATGTTGTTCGCAGTTTGCAGTTACGAGGGATGCCATTAGGAGGCACCCGAAATCCCAGTATCAGAGAAGCATGACTTGGCTGATGCAGACCGACTTGGAGGACTTTCTCTCGGGAAGAGTTTGGGAGCACTTCTGGCAGTGGCTTTTTAAGGGACAGGCAGTGGATTGTCCAATCGAATGGAAATCGTACTGTAGGATGTATCACATCTGCTACGACTCAGAAAGCAGGAAGCTACTCGGCAAGCTCGAGGAAGAGAGGAAAGATTTGGAAAAGAAAAACGGTCTGTTCGGCAAGATAGTAGATCTGCTAAATGGTCTGGAGAATAAAAAGCGTCTGGAGGAGATTGATGCTATAATGGCGGCAGAACTCGTCAGTGCACTCGAGAGGGGGAAATATGAAGCAGTACGGATGCAGCTGCTCTCGGATTCTTTATGAGAAAAATACGGCCACGGTCAGGCAGGTTCGTTGTATATGATACCCTAACTTTGTTAATGATAAAAGGATTGCATGAAATCATTGGTCATCTATTTAATACTTGCCAGCTGTTTTATTCTCGGGAGTGCAGGCCAGACCCTTTTGCTATAAGGAGCGGTTGAGCATATCGGAAGATCCCGAATGTTAGCTATGACGGCGTTGAAGCTTTTATTATAAGGTTCTTAGATGATTTACTATCGCAAAAAGAGAAGCTATCCGAATTGTAGGATCTTCGGCCGTGGCTTAGCCAAGAGTATGTTGTGGTTGTCGGTGAAGCCTCGTCGGATCAATCCGTACCGAAACCTCGGCTTTTAGATAATATGTTAGATAATATGGATGCGACACGATAAGGTGCCTGGATTGTTACCTCTAATAGTAACTAGGTTAGGTACCTATTTTAGCTGCTATAGGCTATAGGCTATGTCAAACTATAGACCTGACACAAGCCAATTAGAGAATAGCCGATTGTATAAAGTGACCTCGAGCTGCTGTGGTGTAGCGAGGCAAGAACCTTGGTTGGAGATATCTCCGGCCGGGAATATTTTGGTTTAGCTGATGGAACGGCCGCTAAACCCCGCAACTCCGGCTTTCGGTAGCGGGATTCCCATGGGGTACTAGGGATACTAATAGAGCTAGCAGGGGATTCCTCTTCAACCGCAACCAATAACATCATTAATGTCACAAAGCCCATGTCGTCTTCTTGTCATAGAATTGTCATGGCTGCATGGGCACACTGCCACCTGCCACCTGCCACCTGCCACCGACAACCGGGTCCTTTGATCTCTTGGACAGCTGCTTTCTTTTCGCTTATAGGCTGTCGCTGTGCGGAGGAGTTGTCGATCTCGAGGGGTTGGATAATGGGGGTTTGTGTTTGTTCCGTTCGACCAGCACAGCAGCGCGGAGAAACCCCTTACCTCGAGGTATGCAAGATGCGCAGGGAGGACCTGTATGTAGGTAGTATGTAGGTAAACCGTAGGTGACAGTGAATACCTATGCAGCGTCACATCGATTCTGCATTGCGGATTTATCAAGCCGAGCCTGCCTAGCTATCGGACCGTTACGTCGAAAGATAAGTGCCACGCAATAAAACCAAAGGTATTCGTCCCCAATATGCTCAAGCTCTTCTCGACATTCTAAAGTCAAGATACCCGTTGATTTCAAGACATTTGAATTAACGCGGCCGGCCAGGATGGTGAGTACACTGAGCGAGAAAAGCGACCCTGAGAGAGCGGTCTCAACTGAGGAGACTGCCGTCGGCAAAGATGGCGGGACGTCTACCACTCACGGCATACCTGATGTCGCGAACCTAACTCAAGCTAACATGCGGGGGTTGAGAATGCCGGAGATCTTAACGAGCATGACACCTGAGCAGCGTCTTGAGCTGGAAACGCGGTTGAGGAGGAAAATCGACTGGCGATTGCTTCCGATGATCATCATCATGTGTTAGTGGATCTTCAGTGTTTTTCTTTTCCTACTTTGTGTTGAGAGGAAAGCATACTAACACGACACTTCTACTTTAGACATTTTGAATTATATCGACCGGTTAGGACACCATACCGCTAGTCCGTACTCCAGAAATGCTAATAGGCCATAGGAATAATATCGCGGCTGCAAAGCTCGCAGGACTGCCGGAAGATTTGAATCTGGATCCTAACGCCAGCGAATTCCAGGTGCGCAGCATGTGATCTACTATGAAGATGAAGATATTGATGTTGTTATATAGACTGCTGTGAGCATCTTATTCGTCGGGTTAGTATACGAACTCCCCTAATGACGGGAAACAAGACCTAGAGTGAAAGCTAACCTTACCGGGACTTCAGCTATCTTCTCATGCAGATACCGTCGAATATATTCCTGAACAAGATTGGCAAGCCGGCTATCTACCTCCCAGCATGCGTATGT